TAATATAAAGAAGAACCTTCTCATACGACTGTTCAGGAAATGATAACAGTTTTTCCTATAAAGTGGTTGCTTCTTGCCACTAGAAGCAACCAAGCAAGTATCTAGTGACCAGCTGTCATGGGTCCTGAAGGGACGGTTTCTGCATGGAGTGAGGTCAGGATGAGATCACCTCTGACGTCGCATCCCAGTTCGTCACATCCTATGAAATTATGCACTATTATGTGTCAGTATTTACTTTAGTCATAATAGACTATATTCTTTAAAATAAATTATAGATGCTGCTGTTCATATAATGAGGTAACAATTTGGAGGCTAAATGTTCATGCTTTCCATATTACTTAATTGTAAGAATGCATATCATAGAAATGCTGCTATTATCAGTACATAAATTTCCTTTATTCTTCACACAGAAAATGTTCTCTTTTTCAGATGATAAGAGCATGGGTATTTTTAGTATGATTTTTTTTTCTTTTTTTTTTTTTAACATACCCTACTTTGAACTTCCCTAATTAAGAAATCAGAACAGATGTGTATCTTAATTAAGAAACTCCCTTGAGCCCTAGCCGGTTTGGCTCAGTGGCTAGAGCATAGGCCTGTGGACTGAAGGATTCCGGGTTCAATTCCAGTCAAGGGCACGTGCCTGGGTCGCAGGCTCTCGATCCCCAGTAGGGAATGTGCAGGAGGCAGCCGACCAATGATTCTCTCTCATCATTGATGTTTCTATCTCTCTCTCCCTCTCTCTTCCTCTCTGAAATCAATTAAAAAAAAACCCTCCCTTGAAATTCATTGTATTTTACTATTCTTAAAAACAAACCAAAAATTGTTAAGGAAGAAAGACCCAGTAATTCAAAATGTATTTAAATAAGTGACTCTTTGTCTTTTATTTTAAGGCCTGTCATCTGGATCCTGCATTGGCAGATGAACTTCACTCTTTACTTATTCACCAAAGAATTTAGACCATAGTGCATTTCAACAAAGATCGTGTGTCCTAATACCTTCAAATGTATGTATTTTTATAATAGCTACATCTGGTTATTTTCTGCATCTCAAGTTACATTATCTTGGTTTTTTTCCTGATTGCATGTTACTCTCGTTCTTGAATTTGTATTTCATAATTTTGCAATTTGAAACGCAGCTATAAGCTCAGATTGCTGGATGAGTCCTCAGAAATCCAGCTCTTAGCCTCTAGACTGGCCTACACCAACCACACCAAATACTGAAAACCATTCCACAAAACAACTATCTTCAAACAGTGTCCCAAAAGACACAGTGCAGCCTTAGTTTTAATAACTTCAGAAGTATAAATGCTACCACTTATAAAATTTTATATATGAATTTTGAATAACTTTGTCATTTTAACTTATTTAAATGTTTTAATTTAAAACTCACAAAAATATATAATAAAAAAGAAATTTAAAGGAACTTTCAAATAATGTGTGCATTTATTTTAATTTGTGTAGCACTTAAGCTTCTGAAGTTATTAAAGCTAAGACTGCATTGAGTCTTCTGGGACATCTTATATTCTCAAGAGATTCTTATAAATAATTAACTTGGATGATTTATGATAAACTCTAAAAACAGTGGGTTTAAGAAATTGCTTAGACTCTTGCAACTCCTTATCTTAAATATCTTAATTTATTGAGTGAAAAACTGCTCTATTCTTGCTAAGACAATCAAAGCAAGAAGTTTTCTTGGTATTTCATTTTCTACATTTTAAGAAACCTAGATATATTTCAAAGGAAGATGAAATGTGCAAAAAATCCCAATGAATTCATCAATACAGAACTATAACTAAATATGGTTAAAAATTAAATGAGCTCAAGAGGCTTTCTTTGTATCAGTGACATTAATGAAGGCAAAATTGACTGAAAAATTGTAGAATTCATATGCAGAAGACTGCAGTGGTATACATCTGTGAATCAAGAACACTGAAAATGATGTCTTAAGATGCCTATCTTCTTTGTAAACATTCTAAACTAATGTTGCTTATTTTAAAAATCAGGTCCCTTCCTTCCCTCCTCTTCCTCTTCCTTACCTCATCCCTGCCCCTCTTCACTTCAGCTCACATCCCACCTCCTTAATGCATCCTTTCAAGCACTAATTAGGCTCTTCTCATTCACACCAATCATCATATTTGTCATATATTCATTCTTGTCTGGATAAAGGGCAGCAGACTTTATATGTCCTTGCAGAAGTACTTACATGCACAGGGTTTTCTACAAAAAGGGTGCCAGAAGTGCTGCAATCTCTCTTTTTTTTTGAGATATAAGTGTCTTAAACATCACAGAGCTCTATGCTTTGTTTTTATATTTTATTGCTTCAAATGCTTCAAACTATGGGAAATCTTTGGTAAAAATAAAGACAAATTTTCACAAGAACTTTACATAAAGGATAGTACAACAATGTTCTTCAATACACATGAATATAGGAATGTTCAAAATCCTCAGTGAGGAAATTAGCTGTACAGTATTCACAGTTCTTCATTTTAAAACAACTTTTCATAAATATTTATATTTCCTAGGTTCTTATCACATTAACAGTTATATTTCAACTTTAAAGTATTTATATTCTTATTAAAATAATCCCAATAATTAACAGAAGTGGTTTTTCTGTTGCCTGCTACAGCCTCAGTCTGCTTAGTTCACATGAAAATGGAGGGAGGTCACTAAAATAAAAGTCAGTATTGTTCTCAGTGAAGCCCTCTGTGGACAAGAGGAAATGGTTCATGTCTATTATCACAGACATTTCTTGGTGGTTTATTCGTGCAGACTCAAACCTGGCCAACTCTCAGCGGGTCCCCGTGAGCTCTCAGCTCAGGACACAGTTCAATCAGCAGCAATTCCATCAGCACCTGAACCAAGAAAGGAGGAGAAAAGAGGAGGAAACGGTGTTTTCTCTCTAAGTGTTTTACTCAAATATCTATGTACAGTTGGAAAAAAGTCTAGTTTTAGGCCTGGGATTATTCTCAGTGAACAAGTTACTCTCAAGGAGATGGAATCCACAGTTATTGCGTGGTCTGTTAATCAACACCACACCATCAGCAATGTTTACTGTGCCACCTGTGATCGACAGAGGCCTGGCAAACCGTTTGCTTGTTGACATAAGAAAACCAAGCAGCACATCACAGGTCACGAAGGCAGACAGTGTGAGGATGAGAACAATGCACCCACCAGGGGGATGTTTTCCTGTCTTCGTGCCGCCACATTTAATAGGCAGACACACGAAGTGAAGCAGAGAAAATGGGGGCAGAGCTACAAGTAATAGGAATGATGAAGAATACAGAGATTTTATGTGTGAATAGAGTGTAAAATTAAAGAAACAGCCCTCTGGTGGGGTTTACAGTACTCACATATAACAGATGCTTATTGGCTCTTGTTTCTTGCAGCGCATTGAATATTTTTATTATACCATGACGGGCATTTTGCTGTCCAACAAGGTTCTGAAGCATATCTGAAAAATTAAGTTTAGATGCTACACTGTTATTGATCAAGTGCACAATGCGTAGCTATTCAGTGAAGGAGATATTACATGATATGTACACAACAAATAAAGGCACTGCCTTGGCCAGTGTGGCACAGTTGGTTGGAGTGTCATCCTGGACACCAAGTACGTCAAACTTGCGGCCCACGGGCTGCATGCCTCGTTTATTTGGCCCATGTTAGCCTTTGAGTTTGACATGCTTGCTGTACACCAAAAGGTCACCAGTACCATTCCCAGTCAGAGCACAAATCTAGATTGCAGGTTCAATCCCTGGTCGGGGCATGTATGAGAGGCAACCGATTGATGTCTCCCTCTATACCCCCCTCTTCCTCTCCTGTCCCCCTCTCCCTCTCTTTTTTGTTCCCTCTCTAAAATCAATAAATATATCCCTTATTATAAATAATAAGGGAAGGGAGGGAGGGCGGGAGGGAAAAGAAAAGAGAAAAGAGAAGAGAAAAAAGCCTATGGCCTGAGGAACATGAATGATCAGTTCTTTTCAATGTTTAAAGAGAAAAGATTATTTAGAATTTTTCAACATAAGGCATTTATACACACTATAATTTTATTCAGTGCTACCCAATTAAAAACTAAGTGTTCAAAACACTATACTTTTGCCCTGGCCGGTGTGGCTCAGTGGTAGAGCATTGGCCCATGTACAGAAGAGTGGTGGGTTTGATTCTGGGTCAAGGACATGTACCTGGGTTGCAGGTTTGTTTCATGGCCTTGGTTGGGGTACATGCGGGAGGCAACCAATCAATGTGTCTCTCTCACATTGATGTTTCTCTCTCTCTTCCTCTCCCTTCCTCTGCCTAAAAATCAATAAACATGTCCTTGGGTGAGGATTAAAAATAAATAAATAAATGCGCTGTGGCCTGAGGAACATGAATGATCAGTTTTTTAAAATCTTTAAAGAGAAAATAAGATTTAGAATTTTTCAACGTAAGACATTTATACAAACGATGAGAGGCCTGATGCACGAAATTCATGCACTGGGGGTGGGGGGCGGGGGGCAGTCTCCTCAGCCCAGCCTGTGTCTTTTCGTAGTCTGGGACCCCTTGCTCCTCACCACCCGCCTGGTTCGCTGCTCCTTACTGCTAGGCTCGCTGCTTCTTAGCGCTACTGTGGAGGCAGGAGAGGCTCTCGCCACCGCTGCTATTCTTGCCAGCTGTGAGCCAGGCTTCTGGCTGAGCAGCGCTCGGGGGAGCGTACTGACCATCAGGGGGCAGCTCCTGAATTGAGCATCTGCCCCCTGGTGGTCAGTGCGCATCATAGCGACCAGTTCTGGTCATTCCACTGTAATGGTCGCTTAGGCTTTTATTATATAGAGTAGAGGCCCGATGCACTAAGATTCGTGCAAGAATGGGCCTTCCTCCCCCTGGCTGTCGGTACCGCCTTCGCTCCGGCTGGAGCTGCCTTTCCGCCTTCACTCCAGCCTGGAGCCGCCTTACTGCCTTCGTTCCAGCCGGAGCCTTCCCACACTGCCCAGAAGCCCGGAGGCTGGGGTGGTGAGGAATGCAAATTAACCCGCCATCTTTGTTGGGTTAATTTGCATACTCACTCCTGATTGGCTGGTGGACATGAAGGTATGGTCAATTTGCATCTTTCCTTTTATTAGTGTAGATAATTTTAATACATTGCTACCAAATTAAAAATTAAGCATTCAAAAACAGTGTACTTTAGAATTTTTAAAGCAACATATTTATTATCTGTTCCAAAACATTCTTCTAGTTTAAATATCTATATAACCAGTATTGTTCTTATTAAGATTCTCAGTATAATGTCTTAGCAAGGGGCAAGACATGATTTAAAAAGTGTGATCATTTTTCACTGCAAATAGTGTTTCCCGACGGAGCTGAGTGAACCCTCATTAGGCTAACGCTCCCTCTCTCTCTGTGCCCGCAGGCGAAAGCGGCCTCACCTGGAATGTTTTCTAGCAGCTTCTGCTGGGCTCTCTGCTTCGTTTCCTGGCTTTGTTCTTTGCTTCTGATTTTGGTCGGTGGTGCCAGTTTCCCATTTGGCCAAAAAGCATCCCGGAAAACAGTGATGTAGTACACCAGCATCTGCTCGCTGAAAATCCAGTTCACTGTGTCCCGAATTTGTTTGTTGATGGTTCTTCCAAAAGTGACCTGAATGAGAGCAATTAATGTTCTTCTCACCCATTTAAACATTCCTCGAAGTTCAAAAATCTCCCCAATCAACATGAAACTTTTAAGAGAAATATATTTCTTGGATGAGATTTTAAAAAATTTTCATACTCTGTTCTCAAAAGGCATTTATCAATTATCAATGAGTAGGTTAAGACACAGCCTGGTCTAAATGTTTGATGAATAAACTAGGAATGGCTTTTTAAGCTCTGGCTCTGACTTGGTTTCTATGTTGGTAATCCTGAATGTCCATTTATTCCTGCAGCTTGCATTTTCTTTGGTGCTGACTTCTGTGGTATCTTTCACTGAGAGACTGATTTGTCTGAAGCCTGCAACTGTCCTCACTGTGCTCAGAACTCAATATACCGATTTCTCCATGAAGTGCTATCAGCTGGAAACATAAGTCGCTGAAAGGCGGTTAAAAGTGCCTGAAACATCCCGAGTGCTGAGGTCTGTGGCAGATCACCCGGGCAGAGTCCTGACGCAGGGACTCATGGCACGTGCTCACGAGGCAGGAGAAGACACGGGCACCCCTCTCACCACAAGGTGGAGGACCCGAGAGATACACTCTCCCCAGCCATTTCCAGTTTCCGTGGGAGTGAAAATTGGGCACAGCAATAAATAAAAGGCTTTTATCTGCAACCAGGTCTCCCACACAAACCTGTTTCATCAGTTATCAGTCAACGTCTAACCAATTACAGGGCTGCTATCAGGAGACAAGTAACCGTAGTTGAGAGATGTTCATTGGGAATAGGAAGTCTCTTTGTTGACAAGGGGGAAAGAATCATTTTAGAATTTAGTGCCAGAAAGACCTGAAATTTCAAACTCAGTTCATGAGTAATAAATTTAAAAATCGGACTTACCAACCGGATTTTTAAAGGGACAATGTAAGGGACAATGTAAGGTTTTGAGACTGCACACAGTAACCAGTCACTACTGAAGTCTCCCCTCCACTGGGATCACACTGTTCATTGTTTGCACCTCTCATTGCTTAGAACTTAAATGCAATGCATATCTAGACCAAATAAAGTAACTGTATTAACTTAATGGGCTTGTGATTTAAGAGAGCCTGCCGCCCCCACCAGCCTAAGAAGAATCTACATAACAAGGCAGACGCCTTGTTTCCTGTCACCTGCCTTTGGTGCTACATGAAGAAATGAATAAGGACATTTCAATTTGCAACTTAAAATTGGGTAAGTGACTCTCACCAAAGGCCATCACCTAAGTCTTTTCTATCAGTTTAGGTCTGACTTTCTATCAGCCAAAACCACAGGAAGCTTTTGAAGCAATCCTGGTATGTGGAATTAGAGTTGTACATGGCAGGTACTGCTGCTGATTTCTATGAGACATCATCGGCTAAAGGCAAAAAAGCCAAGGACAAGCGGGCAGGGCCTCCATATTCCTCCACCTGATAAAAGGCCATTGAGAGGAAGAGCCTGGACAGCCTACAGGTGCCTCTCCGCCAGCCCCCGGAGGTCACTGACATTTCAGAGCCACGGTCTACAGAGGAGCAAGAAAAGCATGAATAACTTCCTGAAACTGAAAGTAAAAACACATTGGCAGGTCTGAGTACTGAGGACAACAGGGCCATTTTGGAAATGTCATTATCCAACGCCTATCAATACTAAAATCAAATTTTGACTCAGACTGAAACTTAAACAGGCCATGTTTTCTGATTAAAACAAAAGCCTATGATAGGAGCTAAAGAAATCACCAACACCAGTTTTTAAAAAATCTTAGAAATAAACAGAAGAAAAATTTTGTTTAAGACCAAGGAAAATATATGTGCAAATGAATAAAAAGATAACACGTTTTTTATTTTCCATAAAAATGTGTAAGATTTATATGATAAAACTATCACATTAACCTTGTACATGTTTGACAACAAAACTAGTCTTTCAATTTGAAAAATCTGATTTTCATCTTAAAATATAGTTGCTGTACAAAAATGTGATTTTTCCCCTTATTTTTAGCAGTCGACTCACATTTTTATTGTGCAACAAAGCCATAATGTTTGTCTCCTGGAGAATACTAGATATGGAGTTAAACTTTTATGTATATAGATAATGGAATATTAAAATATTCACATGGCTTATAATAGTGTTATATAATGCACACACACACACCCCTGATGGATGCTCAGATAGTAACAAGAGGAATTACCCTTTTAATGTTACCTGACTCTAAAAAAATGAATGGTTTGCATTTCCTTCCAAGTACATAGCGGCCACGTGTGAGGCTCAGCCTACTTTCATTTTGGTTTAGAGTCTAAACCTTAACCTGCCTCCCCTCAGGTGACACAGAAACACTGTACCCAAGACACTCAAACTGGTCGTCACAATCAGAAGAGAACTTTACAGACTCCTGACCTCGTGGGCCAGAATGCGGAGCTAGCCCAAGCATTCGTCAGCGAGCTCACGTGCACTCTGTGGGAGAGCGTCTTCAGCAATCTGCCTTCCTAGCCAAGCTCAGAATCGTATCAGAAACAAGAAGAGAAAATAAGATACCTTCAGTGAGAAAGATGAGTGGCTGCTATACCACAGCTAATTTGACGATTAAGGCAAAGAGTAGGCATGAATTCAAATATTAATTTTGTGCAACTCACTTGTTGATGGTTCTTCCAAAAGTGACCTGAACGAGAGCAATTAATGTTCTTCTCACCCATTTAAACACTAAAATGTAAGTCAGAGGAAAAGTATTATCACAGGAGAGCACAATGATGACATTTTCATAGCTGCACAAGCACACACTTTATCACGGAGCTCAAGCGCAGGCCTGACGCCAAGCCAGGGCCATGGTATCTGCAGGATGCGGGTCTAGGTTAGCAAACTTCTGCCCAGGAAAATTCTTACGAAGCTTGCATTTTCTGCTTAGCAACCGATAAGATAAAACCTAGGAGTTTTTACAGCTTTTCAATACCCAAACAACAGCTGAGCTAACAAGTGGAAATAACACGTTACTTCTTATGTCCCTGGGCTCCTGACAACGGTCTGTTTTCCACCAGCAGACAGATTTCTGTCTGGCTTGTTGCCCAACTTTCTAACACTTCTCTGAATGAGAAACATGTGTAGTCAGATGTCCACAAATATTGTGAAATATTCATGAACGGATGGGTCTAACTGCTCCCATTTGAGCAGTAGTTTGTAGAGCACCATGCACTTTTGTATATTTTATGCCTTTGGGGGAAGAGCAGGATCCTGAGCCGTGAATTCGGTCCTCTCCTGCTGCCTGGAGCAGCTGGGCAAAGCCGCCGCCTCTGAGCCTCAGTTCCTCATCTGGGAAAGGACAGTAGTAACATGGGCGTTTTTTTTGCGCTGAGGGTCTTATCAGTATTTTGTGTGAAAGAGTGTTGTGAAGGGTTCTACAAATCTAAACTTTTATGATTTCTATAGGTACAGAATTAAATATAAACAAAAAGAAGACAAAGTAATGCTGTGAGGACATTTTAGGCCTGCAAGTTGAAGACTAAACCAATTTGCCATTTATATATTCACCTCCATTCATTGAAACATTTAGCTACAGACACCCGAGCAAAGGAGACACTCAGACTTGACTATAATGGAGCCGAGAGTTCAGGGCTCCTGTGCCGGTTAGAAAACCTAAAGGAGTAAATGCACAAACCGTCTGTGCAGGGAAGCCACAAACACACGTCAGCAATTCACATAGACCTGGTACTAGACTTCAGAACAGTCTAAGGTCATTTCTAACATTTTAAATGGCTAAATGACCAGTTAAAGTAGTGTTGCTAATCCTTCAAGTAAGATTCAAGTCCTGGAGTCAAGACCATGCCTTTAAAAGCACCTTAAATTTCCAATGGCACACAGGGCACGCTGCCAGCTGATAGACCTCGTCGTCTGAGGCTGCCATTTAGGCTGGGGAGCCTGGCTGTCAGGGACGGTAACTCACCCGGCCTTTCTAGGGCAGGAGAGAGGTGGCACCTACCAGGGGTCTGAGGACATGTGCATCTCAAGAAAAAAGGCCTGCCAGCCGACTGACTGCTTATATGTGTGTAAAAGGCTGTATTATTACTGGTTCCTTTTTGCATACTCAACCAGAGCACGAACCAAAAATGGCCTTGCTCCACATTCCCTCCCATCCCTGCTTACTCTACCACTTTTTCCTGTCCTCCCCTCCCCCACCTATGTACAAAACAGCCCAATGACTCCTTCCTAGAGCTCTTTTGCTCAAAGCCACAGAGGCAGCTGCAGCAACACTAGGATTTTGCTGACGGCAAAAATATCACATCTCATTGTAAATGTTCTATTTCCCCCCCTCGGAAATGTCGCCAGCAAAACCAAATATGCATCTGAGCGGGCACATGATGGAGGACCGGCTCCTGCCCTGACTGGCTCTGGCAGATCCACCACGGCTGGATCTCTGCATGGGAAGGCGAAGATGCCGGGAACAGGCCTCACCCCTTCATGAGCCGGCTTCATGAGGAAGAGGGAGACTTTGGGTGGAGGGCTAGTATTTCTGACCACCCTGAACCAGGGAAATGGCAGTAAATATCTTAAGTGTCTGAAGTATACAACAGCTGTAGCTTTTTCATCTGAAAGGATCTTTAATATTTGGGTGATATTCCATCACCCAAATTTACCCTCCACTTCTGATATTTAGCTTAGTTCCAACTTTTCAATATTGAAATTTTGCTAAAAATGAACATCCTTATATATAAACCTCTGTCTGCAGTTTTGAATTTAATTATATCTGTTGCTTAATGTGAGTTACATTTCTGGAACCCTTATCTTGTAAATGCACTGAAGGAAGAATCTACATCTGATATAGTTTTGTGTCCCCTACAGAGCTGTATCTAAAATATGCTCCCAAGTATTTGCTGATTGTTTAAGTTTGGGCTTAGGGGAAGAAAAAGTTCAATGACCAAAATAATTAATTCTGGCACTTAAAATGTGCTTGCCTATTCATCCATCAGTGCATCCATCCAGGCATTTCACTGACCACCTACTATGGTTGAGACATTGTAGTAGTCACTGAGGAATAAAAGTCACACAGACACACCTAAGTTTATAAGACCACTTGCAGTTTTTTCATCTGCTAATAATTCTTTAGGTGACATTAAGGGGATATATAATTCAGAAGGGACACACTTCCTATATAAGACCCTCTCCCAGCCCACCGCCTTTGCCCTGAGGGAAAAGATGCTAATCTGGGTAGAGAGAGCCCAGGACAGTCAGGGGCACCACTTGACTGCTGGTGGCATTACTATGCCTTGCTCTCTCGCGTGCTTCCTCTTCTGGGTGGGCCTTTAGGCACCATCACATTGCCAGCTAGTACTGAGGCCCCCAGTATAACTGAGTGCACTCGTCTCATGATAGAGTGTTGGGGGCAGTGGAAGGTGTGTGTGTGTGTGTGTGTGTGTGTGTGGCGGGGGGGGGGGAGAGAGTCATGTTTAGGACTCAAGACTAAATCAAGTAGTACAGTTTGACTTTTCACCCAACTACTGCTTTAGGAGAGAGGCCCTTGGGTGGGCCTTAACAAAATAGTATTTTGATCCTATTTTGCTATTGTTTCTTCTAAGTACATGTCCCCTAAGAACTACCAAGGTAGGCATTCTCAGTCTGAGCATGCCTGTCATTTGGGGCAGGATAAGTCTGTTGGGAGGGGCTCACCTGGGCATCGCAGGAAGTTTAGCAGCACCCCTGGCTGCCTATAGCACCACCCCCAAGTTGTGACAACCAAAAAGGTTTCCAGACATTGCCAAGTGTCCCCTGGGGACAAAATCCCCCCAGCCCTCCACTGATAGCCACGCCTCCATGAAAGAAAGGTGGTTGAGGCTGAAGCAGGATGGAGGCTGTCCTGTGTCCCTGGCCATAACACTATCTCAGCAACACCCAAACCTCATCTTTAACAACAGGGCTGTTCCTCTGCTATGAAAAACTATTTCTGCTTACCTTCTGGTGATAAAGCAGTGAGACTATGCTAAGTCACATGAAAAGAAATTCAAGGCATTCTCTTTCTATACGCAGAGGGACAGGGTGCAGGGTAAGCCAGGGCTCTGAGTGCCCAGAGTACACTAGCCAACTGTCTTACATAGTACCTGGTTGGCCCTTAGGAGTATTTGCTGAATGAATGAATGAATGAATGAATGAATATAAATACAAGTTTGATTCAGGAATAAAGGGATATTAAATGTATACGTGTATTAACCACTCAACTAGACAATAACACTAAATAATAACAAAAAGGCTTACTTCCTCGAAGTTCAAAAATCTCCCCAATCAACATGAAACACGGTTCGGCCAAGGAGTCTTTCCTCCCATCCACGTCGTCACCATAATCTGACAGGTCACTGTCCTCCTCTGTCTCCTCCTGGGGGTGCAGAAAAGTCATAGGAAGCAGGTCACTATCCAAGAAAGTGGTAGAGTTGTTGTCCTTTTCAAGTGTAATTCCAAACTGTGTGTTAACATCTCCACATCACACAATCCTCAACCATCCTGCATGCAGACATCTATGCATTTTCAATAAAGAGGGGAAAATGTATCTAACCCCAAGGGAGAGCCTGATCTGAAAGCTTTAAAGGTTTAAAATAACTGTGAAAAACCTGTCACCGGACTGATAAGGAGTGAATCAGTAGACAGCAAAATAGTTTTCTAAGCATTTTGAGTTTTAAAAGTAAGGCTTTTTAACTTAAATGGTTCTAAACTCGCTGTTCTTAAAACTGCATATTTTAAAGTAATCTAGTTATTTTTAAAACTCTGATTCAAGCTTTTATCCTGTCCTTCAGCTAGTCTCATTTCCTGATCTGCATGTCAGCAAGTTGCAGGCACCAGGCTAGTGCCAATGAGCGCTATGTGGATCCAGACTTTGGTGGCCCGCAGCTCTAGGAGACTGACAAATAGTCACGTAGCTGTTGCTACAAGTAGGTGAGGCGCTGTGAAGGGGTTGGGAATAAATTAGAGGTAAGCCAGCCAGGTATAGCCAGACATGACACACAGGGCTGTGACGGGAAGAGGTGAGGGGCCCTGAGACGGGAGGCGGGTTTACACGGAGACCAGCACACTGGTGTGGACATATTCTGTGCTGCACAGATTTCTCCTCCAGCTCAGAATGTGGCAGCATGATGCTCCTTTTCATCGC